CATACGCACCCCCCTCCTAACCCCCCCCCCCGCCGCGCGCGCACACACACAAACTGCACCATTACTTGAAGGAGTACTTTAAGTTCCACACTGACACTCTTATCTACATCACTATTAACAGGCGCCCAACAGCGCCCTTTGCGAAGCCACCCACCATACAAGAGACCATACTCTTCTGCGCCAATCAGAGAGGTGGACGATCGGGAACCATTGCGTATCTGGCCAAGGCTGTGATGCGATTGGTGCAAGATTCAGTCGAGAATGAGGGTGTCTGCTTCGTGTCCTGAACTCGATTTGAAAGGATTGAGCGGTGGAGGATGGATTGTAGCTGTACCGGTGATGCATATGCGGGGTAGATTGGGGTTATGTATGCCTTTTTTTAAGGATAGGTATATCTATGTACTATATAGCAAGTAGTGCCAATACACTACTGTTTAAGATGATCCAGATGCTGCTTGTATGTATATCGACTAAGGGTACAGAGTAGCATGCTAGATGCCTGGACACGCGTCTCGAGAACGCTTCGAAGCAAATGGACTCTCCATAATTCTTGATGCAGCATAGATGCGGATGCCGGAACTATTTAGAAATTTGTCAATATAATGCCCATTCATTTTCCATTGTATTCATTGAATAAAATATAATCGTATTTACTACTTGTCGTGTGTATTCATACTCAGTATTTAATCTGTTGCACCTATAAAAAGAGCGGTCCATTTGTCCTCGCTCTAGCTACTTTTAAGGAGATGAAGACGCTTACTGCTTCACAAGTGGGTCACAATTCACACCACGGGTACTAAACTAAAAGTAGTCTATACATATCGGTCTGGTGCATCAATCATCATACGACATGCGTGCAGTATACAGAACATACACTCAAAATGTCACCACCAGAAATTTCTCTAGCTTTTTTTAAAAGCACTTCAGGGCAGAATACTGATAATTAATAGGAAATCAATTATACATCGATTTTCCATTATATTGGGTGTGATTGTATGCTTCATACATGTATATTTAGTCATCTATATAAGTTTTCATAGTATATTTGGTGTGATTGTATGATATGTATGTGTAATCATCCATATGAGTTTTCATAGTATATCTGGTGTGATTGTATGATATATATATAGTCATATATTTATGAGTTTTCATAGTATATTTGGTGTGATTTTATGATATATTTATATATATAC